GTCGTCTAATGATCATAATTCATGAGACTGATTACTCTGTCGCCGTGTCTGAGGTGCCAGCCCGCCGCGGTGCAGAGAGGGGGGGGGGGGGAGGCAAGGCGAGGCAGGGTGAGGTAAACGTCTCCACGACGCTCGTGCTGAGCTGTCAGCGAGGGCAGGTCGAGGTACATGACATGCCAAGGCGCCGCGTCATTACTTATCAATAATGAATCGATTCTACGTGGGGCTGCCATCTACTCTGCTGCTGCCGCTGCTACGGGTGGGAGTCACGGACCGTCGCGCGGCCGCCCACCAGCATCTCGCACAGAGCAAGGTCAGGAGACACGCGCCAGCCCCCGCCACGGCGAGCACGCCGTCGAGGAGCGCCTAATCTCGCCCACAGTCTCGGCTTGACCTCAGCGCTCTCGCCGGCGAGTCTGAACGATGTCGGGCAGCGCACCACTTCGGCGGAGTCGCCAAATCGTCGCCAAGAGCTTCCATTGCCGCGGAAGAAGATCTTTGCGAGGGGCGTGAGCCACGAGGCGCCCGAGTCCTCCTCCTCCTCCTCCCCCCCCCCCTCCTCCTCCTCCTCCCTCTCCGCCTCCTCGTCCCTCTCGAAAGCCGTGAGGCTGTCGCCGCTGAGGTCATCTTCCCTGGCCACGCGCGAGGAGGCGTCGGCAGGCGGAGGGTGTGTGTGTAGTGGATGCGGCGGAGGTGGTGTCCCTCGGTGAGGGGAGGAAGTATCTCTTGTCTCGGAAGTGTCGCGGCGCGCCGTCCGAGCTGGTCGAGCTTCGTCTTGTACCGGTCGTCCTTGCCCCCCGCCTCGGCATCGCTGACGGCACTCGCAGGTGGCCCATCCCACCCGTCGACCACGCTCTCAAGGGGCTGCGCTTGCCCAGCGGGCAGCGGAGGGGCGGGTGGCCAGCTGGAGATCTGGGCGCGGGCCGGAGGCAGCGGCTGCGGAGACGGCGGGGGCGGAGGAGGAGGACTCGGTGGAGGCGCAGGGGCAGGCGACCCGGGTGGCACCGGGGGTGACGGCGGGGGCAAAGACGGCGGTGCAGGGGGCGGCGGTGCTGGGTGAGGACACTCCGGGAAATTCCCGAAGCCGCAGAACCTGCACAGCTCGAAGCCGCCCGCAGCGCAGCCGGCACCGCCGCTTCCGCTTCCGCAAGACGGGTCATAAAAGCAAGGCTCTTGTGGCCCGGAGCACACGGCGCTTGCCACAAATCCGCAGGGCACTTTCGCGGTCGCCATATATGGAAAGGCTCAGCCTCGCGACCACGCCCGACCCCACCACCTCGAGGACCTGAGACTGTAACTACCGGACCTGTGTCTGTGGAGGGGCGCACGGCGAGCAAACGGCGTCTAGTTGGAAAATGCTCACTCACGGCGCTCGAGGGGCGGCGAGAGCCGAGGGTCGCGCAGCACGAGTGTCCGGAGACACTCGAGCGCGGAGAGACAGTGTGTCACCGCCCGTACGTGCGCGACGGTCCGAGAAAGTACGGGCGGTGCAGGGTGAGTTGACCAGGGGTTAGACACGTGTTGTGTCATCAACAGAGAGAAGGATTTGACCTCAGGGCCGAGGTTCGCCGAGCGCGGCGCAGTCGGGGGAAGCCGCCACCGAGCACACCGACGAGCGCAGACCGCACACGCGCACAGAGCGCTGGTCGGAGATACGGATTCACTCGCGCCGCGGGGGGGACACGACCCATAGTCGTGCTCGCGGCCCGTGGCTGCCGTGTTCCCCCGTCTTAGCGGCGAGGCGCGCGCCCCCGGCGCGGGACCGTCTGTCGGTGTCGCGAAGTGGGTCGCGTCCCCTGATATTGCCGTCAATACAGCATCCACACCCTCTACTCACACAACTTTTAATATGAACCTCGCCGTCGAGCTGGTACCTCAAAAGTCACCACCCCACCTCTCGCAAGTGCGCCATCCGCTTGGGCGAGAGCGCCTCCTTCGCCTGCGCCGCGCGCATCGCCTCGCTCCACCGCGCGAGCTCGTGGCCGTCGCCGAGCACCGCGCCCACGTCGCTGTGGCCGTGCACCGCGTGGAACGCTCGCAGCTCGCGGAAGCTGCTCATCCAGGCCGACCCGCAGCTGCGCGAGCTCTGCCACACGAACCCGATCTGATCGAGCTCGGCGACGCGGGCCGCGCCCAGCTCGGAGCGGCAGCGCCGCACCGCCGCCACCCAGCCGCCAAGGGCCGGGTCGCGCTGGTACTTTTTCTTCACGTCGCAATCGCCGTGCTCGTCGCGATACGCCGCAAGCCGCGCAAGCATGCCGGCCCAGTCCGCCCTCGTCGGGTCATCCACGTCCGAGGGCGCCACCCACGAGAAGCAGAGCAGGTCGAGTGCGTCGACGCGCGCCGCGGCGAGCCTGAGGCATCAGCGCACCGGAGTCAGCGCGGGGCACCGTGCAGTGTACTCAGAGCACCGCGTGAACACACCGGCCTGTGCTCAGCATCTAGAGGCGGCAAGCCTGCTCTAGGAAGTGTCCAGGAAGTGTCTGAAGTGTCTAGAGGCGGCAAGCCTGCCGGCGTCGCGCAGCTGCCGCTGCACCTTGCACCAACGGCCGAGGTCGCCGTCCACGTCTGGCCCCAGCGGCGCGTCGGCGTTGCCCCAGTCCTCCTTGTACCGAGCCAGCCGCGCGCGCATCGCCTGATTGATGAGCGTTCTTGATTGATTAATCAACTGATTGGGATCGAGCCAACGCCCGCGCGCGCAGCCTCCCAAGCCAAGTCACTGACCTCCGTCGCCCGTTCGGCGAACGCCTCCCGCCTCGCCAACCGCTCTGCCACCGCCCTCTCCCCCTCCTCACGCAGCGACGCCACCCTGGCCGCCGCCTCCGCCTCCGCCTCCGCCGCGGTCTCGCTCCGTGGCGTGCAGACGTGGGCGAGACCCGAGCCGCGGAGGAGGAGGACGGGCACATCCCAAAAGATCGGCGACGCGGCTGCCGCCATCCACTCGGACACCTAGTTGCACCGACCGCTGTTGCGGTCTTCGCGTTCCTCCCTTCTGCCGCCCTCTCCGCTCCGCACACCTGTTGATGAATCAGCGACATGCATGATTCCCGGCTGCTTAGAGGAGGGGCGGGTCCGCCACACTCTCCCAGACCGGAGTGCGGCCGCTCTCGCGCGAAGCGGCGTGCGCATTCTTGCCGCCGCCCTCCCGCCACGCCGCCCACGCCGCCTCGCGCGCCCATAGGGTGGCGGTCGCATAAGTGAAGCCGCCCGCCTAGAGAATGAGTCTCGAGTGTGCCGAGTACAGACTGCGGACGAGGCGAGTGCCGCTGAGTCCGGCGGAGCACGTGTCTGTCTCGACCGCTGTGTGGTGCAGAGGAGTGGAGCAGAGGTGTACATCAGAGGTGCGGGTCCCCGGTCGTCGGGTGTCTGAGGGGTGTCCGAGGGGTGTCCGAGGGGTGTCCGAGGGGTGCCCGCCTGGCCGGCGGCGGGCGGCGAGGCGCGGCGCAGGAGCGAGAAGCCGACGAAGCCCGGCTGTCCGGCCAGCTTCGACTCGCGTGTCGCCCACCGCTGCTCGAAGAGGCGGCGCGACGCCTCGTCGGGCTTCACCACGAACCGGTTCATCGCAAGAAAGGCGGGCTCTCCTGGGGACGGGTAGAGGTCGGGGTCGGGGGTCAGGGACCACGGCGAGGGTTGAGCACCACGAGCCGCAAAAACATGCATATGCACGCCTGGCTGCATCTCCGGCCTGCCAGCCGGGCGCTGCACCATGGTCGCGTCCCAGGGCTGCTCGTCCGACGCGAGGACTTCACCGTCATAAACGTCACTCACCGACAGGAGCATGTAGTCTGGCGTACCGGGCGGGTAGTTGGCGTACAGCTTACCGTACATCGAAATGTCATCCCTGCGTCGCACCAGCAGGGCCGCCCGTTTTTTGCCGAGACTCATCTCTGCCGCCACCTGCGCCTCAAACTCGCGGCGCTCGAGAGGGTCGACGCAAAAGGGCTTCAAGCGAACCGAACGGTCTGCCATCGCTTTGGGTGGCAGGTTTCCGCCCGCGAACGTTGAGGCGAAGATCATAACGGTATGTTGTGCCGGCCCCCCGGCGTCACGGCAGGGCCTTGCGAGAGGAGCAGAGACGCCAAGCCCCAGCCCGAACCCAGGTGGCGAGAGGAGCCGCAGGGCAAAAGAAATGGTAGGGCAACCCCGGGGCTAGGGCTCTCTAGCCCGTAACCCGATCCCGATCATCCGGCCCGCTGGGTGCGCTTCTTAGCTCCCCGGCCCTGGATGTGAGGCTGATAACTGCACTCCAAGTGCTCCAAGTGCAGTACCCCTCTTTAGCCCTCAACATGAGCTCCTCTCCCCCACTGGCGACTGGGAGGACAACGGCAACAATTGGCATGACCACGCCAAGGCCCAGCCGCACCGTGAATAATTTTATCAGCAAAAGAGAATTCACTTATGGGCTCCAAGAGACTCCGAAAGGGACCGACTACCCGTGCGAAGCAAAAGAAATTGAAGTCGGGAAAGACCCGTCGAGCGCTCAGCAGCTCTTCAGCTCCCTTGGCCGAGCTCCATCATCTCTTCCGCACCTCACGAGCCGCACCAACTCTGACGCGTTGCCCTTCCTGGCGTGGAAGGCGCGCCTGGAGAACTTCTGGTTCTGCCGCGTGTAGTCCGGCTCGAACGGGCACCGCCTGATGCCGCACAGGTGCGCCCACTTGCCGCAGCACACGATGGGCTCGGGCAGCCGCGCAAACGGGCACTGCGACGCCATAGCCTCGAAGCGAGGCTCAAAGTAGCCGAGGTAGACACCGGAGGCGTCCGGTGCGAGCGGCTTGCTGAGCAGCGCTGATGCGGAGAAGGATTCGCCGGTGACACGATCGGCGCGCAGCACCCTCTCCGCCTCGCCGGTTGAGTTGTATGGCTGAAGCACATCGCAAAAGCCCACCGGGTCTGCGTAGTAATGTCCGAGTGGCTTCGACTTGTGGCACGGCCCGCCGAGCGGGTCGCGCTGACAGCCGGTTCGAATGCGCTCAAACACCTTCCGCGTGAGCCCGATTCGCACGCCTGCCTCAAACCGGACGTTCCGCGTGAGGTTCAGAGTGTCATGCACGTGCAGAGGCCAGACGAAGTGGGACCACGCTGGAAGACTTAGCTGCCGCAGCCGGCGCAACACCCACCGCCAGTCCTCCGAGATGCGGCCAAAGCTAGCAATCACCGCGGGTGGTGCCGCTATCCACCAGTCGTTGGCGAACATGTAAGGGTTTGAGGGCAGCAGCGGCTTTGCCTGCCACTGGTGTTGATGGATCTCCGGCGTGCAGTGGCCAAGCAGTCGCCCTGTATACTGCCGTCCCTTGCGATAGTTGGTGCAAGCGCCAGTTGTTGCGTTGCACGCCCCCGCGCCGCACCGGCCGAGCACGAGGGCTTTCTCGGACGGCGACACAGCGTCGCGCACGCAGCAGCTCTCCGAGATGGTGATGTGCCCGCGACGCAGCCTCGCGAGCGCGACGGGAGCGCCCACAAAGGCGTCCCAGCGCAGCGCAAAGGTGAGCGCATAAGGATACCCCCGTGCACGCTCTCTGGCGAGCACCAGCTCCGCAGCTCGCCCGAGCGAGAGCGCCTGCGAGCGGGCTTTGTCGGCAAAAACGGGCGGATCGTGCCTGCTGCCAAGCAGGTGCGTGCCGTAGAGGGTCGCAACCACACCCGAGAGCTCTGGGTTCCAAGAGTGCGCGAAGACGTCAACGCCTGCCCGTGCATTGGCCCGCACGATGTACTCGAGGTGCGAAGCCGCTGTGAAGTGCAGCAGCCGGCCGCTGCCACGGAGGTTGAGCCACAGGGCCGCGGACGGCGCCTGCTCGAGCGTGCCGACGAGGCCGTGCAGAACCAGCGCATATTCGGAGCGGCGGTCTGACATATATCGCGTTGTCGCTGTAGCCCGGAATTCATTTTAAATACTCGAGTAGCCGCAGGCCCCGGCGGAGTGTACGGCTCTAATGAAACTCCCCACCCCCCACACCATTGGGCAGATGGGCACAGGACTAGTAGCCTGCGGGCCACCTTCACGTAAAAGCACAACGCCGGGAGAAAGAAAGAAAATCCAGAAGCAAACGAGGGATGGGAGGAGGACAGGGTCCCCACCAGAAAGAAAAAGAAAGAAAACGGACAACCCAGGGGAGGGTGGATGGGAGGACGGCACGCCGCCACCACACAGGGATTTTAAGGAGAGGGGTGTGGTGCGCTAGCCGTCGCCCACCCTCCACGAGCAGGATTTTGCAACCGTTTTTACACCTCGGATTTTTCGCGGCCATTTCCCCTCTCCGGCCATTTCCCTCGAGAGCTGCGAGAGCGCACTGCGAGAGCCACGATACGGCTTACAGGCACACATGTGTTCCCTCTGCCTCGTGCTCGCCGCGGGCTGGAGCGGCAACCGGCTCGCGCCGTGCCGCGCCGTGCCGCGCGCCGCGCCGCCTCATAGCGCCCTGCCCCATGAAGCCGTCGCTGCCGTTTCCGAAGACCCCGACGCTGTCCGGGAGGGCGATTGGACGCAGCTCGCCACCAACCTCGAGACGGCGGTGTACAAGGTCCGCGAGCTCGACGCAGGGCTCGGGCCGGCGGCTGGCTTCGACGCGCTGGCACGCTTCAACGAGCTGGAGACCGCGTCCGCCCGACGCCTCGAGCGCGCCCTGCTCGGCGACGCTGCGGAGCCGGCAAGCTCCTGCCGTGAGCTGGCGGGAACGCTGCTCACGTCGCTCGAGGGGCTTCAGTCGCGAGTCGAGTCGCAGCAGGCCGCCAGCGCCGAGGAGTCGCGCCGCAGCGAGGCAGCGCTGCGCGATGAGTCGGACCTTCGCGCGGCGGCGGAGGCGGCGCTGGCGCAGTCGGAGAGCCTCTTGGCGAGCAGCCGCGAGGAGCTCTGCGAGTGCCAGGCCGAGGCTGCGAGGCAGGTGGGCGCGCTGGGCGACGCGCTCGAGGCGTCGCAGGACGAACTCGCGCGCAGAGAGGCGGCGCTTTCGCAAGCAGCGGACGAGGCCGCCGCCGCTCGCAATAGAGAGGGCGCTGGACCCTTCCTCTGATCTTTTTCTCTACCTTTCCGCAGGCGTCCGCTGCGGTCAAGGCGAAGGAGGAGGCGCTGGCGGCGGCGGCAGCGGCCGAGGCGGCGGCCGCCGCCTCCATCGCTGCGGCGGCGGAGGAGCGGATGCGTGAGCGGGAGAAGCTGGATCGTGCGGTGGAGAACGCGGTGAGCGAGGCGGAGCGCAGCTTCTTCAAGCAGAAGGCGGCGCAGGCGGCGCGAGCGGCCAAGGAGGCGGAGGCGGCGAGGGAGGAGGCGGCGGCGAGAGAGGCGGCGGCGGCGAGGGCGGTGCCGGAGCAAGACGCTGCGCCGCGTGCTGTCGACTTTGGGGGCGGCAGGCGGCGGGTGGGCGGGGTGGGCTCCAAGGCGCCAGCTCTTCCGTTTGGACGGGTGGCGGGGGTCTCAGCCTTTCCAGAGCCTCCCTGACACTGCTCCGAGTAGGCGCCGCTCTTGCTCGGGGGAGGGCTCAGCCTCGGCCTCGCCGCGTGGTACGCCGCCCTGCCCGACGTGACGCCGCCGCTCGCGCTGGTGCTTCTGCCGGTGGCAGCGCTCACCGCACAGGCGGCACGCACCGGATGCTTCGGCCCCTTCTCGGCGCCTGCTCACCCCTCTCTGCTCCTTCCCGCAGGCGGCCGGCGTCGGAAGCGAGGAGCCCTTGCGCCGCACCTTCTCGGAGCCTTCCTGCGCCTTCGCGGAGCATTCTCGGTGCCTCCCTGTAGGTGTCCTACGCGCCGTCCCTCCCGGCGCCGCCGCCCCTCCAGCCACCGCCGCCCCTCCAGCCGCCGCCGCCCCGGGCTCCCTCCGTGGCGCCAGCAGCGGCGGCAGAGCACGTCGCAGAGGAGGCTGGCGCCGCACCGCTGCCGTCGAAGCGGGGGGCGGAGGAGATGGAAAAGGTTGCCGAGGAGGCAGAGCCGCTGACGACGGGAGGCTCGGAGGCGAAGGCGGAGGCGGAGGCCGTGGCCGCTAAGCTGGACGCCGTGAAGGAGGGAGGCTTGCGCGCTGTGCAGGAGCGCCAAGAGAGGCGCGAGGCGTACGCAGTTTGGGTGGCGGCGGCGGCGGCGGTGGCAGCGGAGGCCGCGGAGGCCAGGGTGACGTCGCTGCGTGAGGAGGGGGAGAGGGCGGTGGCGGAGCGCCAAGAGCGGCGCGAGGCATACACGGCATGGGAGGCGGCGGCGGAGGCAGCAGGCAAGTTGGCGTCGCTGCGTCAAGAGGGGGAGAGAGCGGTGGCGGAGCGGTTGGCGAGGCGGGAGGCGTATGCCGCGCGGGCGGTAGAGGCGGCGGAGGCGGCGGAGGAGGCGGAGGCGGAGGCGGAGGCGGAGGCGGAGGCGGAGGCGGTGGCGGCGGTGGCGGCCGAGGCGCCGGAGCAGCAGGCGGCTGAAGAGGTTCGAGAGAGGCCTCCGTTCGACGCGGAGGAGTGGAAGCGGCGAATCAACGAGAAGAGCGAGCGCATGCGCCGTGCACAGCAGGCTCCGAGCCCCTTGCTTCAGAGCCCGTCGCCGCCGCCACCCGCCGGAGCAAGCGGCGCCACGACATCGCCCGAGGCGGAGTTCGCGGGCGCCTCCACGAGGGTCCGCAAGCGCGACCGCGTGCTGAAGGCGGTGCGTGGGATGGTCGCACGCGCCTCTCCAGTGGCGGGCTTGGCGAGGCGGCTCCTCTCCCGGATCCGCCGCGGGCTGGAGTGAGAAGCTTTCTCAAAGCAGGGGGCGGGGTGGAGGTCGCGGCGAGGTGCGCGGCTCTGTATGTATTTTCATGTATGGAAACATCTGAGGTAAGAACACACCTAACAGCATGCGGGACGGTGACTACACAGATCTGGCATCTGCGTGCGCGGGGCGGGTCTCTGTGGGGGATCGGGTGAGCGGGGTCTGTGAGGTATGAGGACGGAGGTGGAGCGCGCGCGCACACACGCGCCACGGGACGAGACGTATCGAGATACTCGGGCTCCGAATACAAGTAGAGCATGCGGTGGGATTGGGGTGGTGGTGGTGGTCGGACCGCGCGGCCTCCCTTGCCTCTTGTAGGCTCGCAGTTGGCGGCACGCGCAGCCTCCCTGTCTTCAAGGCGGCGCTCTTACGCCGCCGAGATCACCGCGTCGGCGGCGGGCGGGTCGTCGCGCGCCGGGCTGAGGTGCACCTTGCCCACGAGGGCGAAGGAGAGGAAGAGGCCGACGTAGACGGCGAAGAAGCCGTTGCCGGCGACTGAGAAGCCAGCCGAGTCGCGGAAGGTCAGGACGCCAGCCGCGCCGAGCCAGCCGAGGGCAAGGAGCGGGGTGGCGATCTTGTTGACGAGGGGGAGCGGCTCCTTGAGCACGAGGTGGTAGAGTCCGACGAAGGCCGAGATGCACACCAGCACGAGCGAGTACACGTACTCGCCGAACATGCCGCGGACGTCGTCGCTGCGCCCCTCCTGAATGACATTATCCTGGTCCTGCAGGAGCGAGCCAAGGACGATCACCGACGCGAAGAGGAACGCAAACATCGACGAGGAGAGGGCGTCGGCGTTGGCGACGGCGCGGACGTTCTCGACGGCAGCCTCCGCCTCGCTGCCAAGGTGTGCGAGGCATGCGACCAGGAGCAGCCAGATGGAAAAGTACCCGTTAGCGGTGGTGGCGGGAGCAACGAAGATTCCGCCGCCGGTGACGCCAAAGGTTCCGACGATGGCGCCGGCGGCGACCCACGGGACGAGGAAGATGGCCATTGCGCGGCGCATCGAGACAGGCGAGTCGCTGACGTTGAAGAGGACCGTCTCGAGGAGCGCCGGCTTGAAGACGGAGCACCAGTAGTGGAAGAGGGCAAGGAAGCCGGCGACGGCGCCGACGGCAATCATGTACGCCTGGCGGTCGGGCACGATGTTGTCCTGGTAGACCATGTCAACGACACCCGCAGCCACGGGAGTCGTGACCGCGCCCTGGTAGAAGTAGGCCGAGAGCACCACCACCACGCCGAGCGCGAGGATCTGGAAGATGTTGGAGTTGAGCGGGCCAGAGGCGCTGCCAGTCATCTGCGCGGCCATGAAGAAGCCAAACCAGGACGAGAAATATCCGTTGTTCATCCCGGTGAAGGGCGAGCCGCTGCGGAAGGTGAGGACGCCGGCGGTGGCCGCCCAGAGCAGCACGAGGATCGGGATGAGTGTCTGGATGGCCGACTCCTTCATGTCGGCGAAGATGATCATGATGGTGATGAGGATGGTGGCCGCGGCGGAAGCCATGCCGAAGATGGCGATGTCGTCGGTGGTTTGGGTTTGCGGCCCGGCACTGGGGAACTCGACGCCGTCGTTGGGGTCGACGTACTTGATGGTGGCGATGAGCAGCATGACCGCGGCGAAGAAGAGGCCGGCGGCCCGCCCCTTGAGCGACTTGGCGTCGCCGATGCTCATGGTCTTGGAGAGGAGGAGGAGCGACGCGAGGAAGCCGGTCCACACCGAGAAGTAGCCGTTGCCGGCGGGAACCGCGGACGTGCCGTCGGGCGCGAAGGGCGACTTGAAGGTGCAGACGCCCGCGCCGACGCCCCACCAGAGGACGAAGAAGATTGAGAAGGCACCGAGGACGGAGACGTCGGTCGACTTGATGGAGAGCATCTTCTTGTCGGACATGTCGGGCTTGAAGCGGGTCATGAGGAGTGCGATGAGGCCGAGGCCGAGGCCGACGGCGCCGACGGAGACGGCGTACTTGCGGTACTTGTCCCAGTAGGTGGACGGATACTCGTAGTCAGGCGCACCGTAGCCGCCCTGCGGCGCGGCGGCGGTGACAAGGAGCCAGAGGCCGGCGACGGAGAGAGTCACGAGGAGGTTCTGGATCGAGTTGCCGGTGGAGGAGTCGCGCGTGGTGCCGTACTCCTGGGTGGGCTTCTGAGCGTAGTCGTCGGACATCGTGGAGGCTGCGGGCGGCGGGATGTGAGAGTGAGGACATCGTGGACGTTGGAGTGGGCGCGGCGATTTGTGTGACTGCTGGCGGCCGTCGTGGCGCGTGGCGTGCGGGCGCGTAGATGTTGCGTGGCGTGGCGTGGCGCGCGGAGAGGCGGGCGCGAGGCTTACATCGTCGGGAGGCAAGGATGGTGACACGGTCGGTTACTTGGTTGACGGGATCAATTGTCCGATGCACCTTGATTTCGTCGTGCGCAATAACTTTTGAGAAAATTAAGCAGAAAAGGTGCCGACCTCAACCCTGGGACCTTCCTGACGCATGCAGCTGTGCTCTCCAGGATACCCATCACTGAGCCGACAATGCTACGGGTTAGCCCCAGGCGCCAGGGTGGCGCCCACCCCCATAGCCATACCCTCGCTCGGGCACTTGCCTGCGCCCTTGCGCGCTAGCCCACGCCCTGCCCCGCAAGATCTCACTCCATCCCGGCCTGCGGCATACCTCGGCACCCCCTTGCACGGAATTTCAAAACGCCCAGGTTCCCTGCTCAGATCGGCGAAGCGCCACACAGTGCCACGGAGTGCCGCGTAGTGCGGCGTGCGCGCGGGCGTGCGCGCGGGCGGCGTGCGCGCACGTGCGCGGGCGTGCGCGCATGCTGCGTAGTGCCGCGTAGTGCCGCGCGCGCGCGCGTGCGGCGGTCGTGCGCGGGCGTGCGCGGGCGTGCGCGGGCGTGCGCGGGCGTGCGCGGGCGTGCGCGGGCGTGCGCGGGCATGCGCGGCGTGCGCGGCCAGGGCGCAGGCAAGTGCCTGAGGGTATGGGGGTGGGCGCCACCCTGGGGCTACCCGTAGCATCGTCGGCTCAGTGATGGGTATCCCCACGAATGTCTCACTCAAAACCGGCCAGCTTGTTTGTTTGTTTGTTTGTCTCCCTCCCGCTGTGGCTGGCATGCATGCCGGGCCGACTTTAAAGTCATCGTGGTCTTCCTGTTCTCATTCACTAACGTGTATTTCACACAAAAACACAACCCCGGACCCAAGCAAGACGCACAAGCACAGATGACAGTCGAGACGAGAAACAGCAAGACAGAGATTTCTAACTGCAACGTCCAACGACAGTCAGAAGTCAGCACTGGGTCCCAGGAAGGCGAATGCGATGACGGCCTCTAGTGAGAGCTCTCTAGCTATTGAGCTCATTCATACTCACGCAGGCAAATAGATCGCTACTAGGACGCTGTTTCATTCACAGCAGTCAGTCACACCTCCCTAGCATGGAGGACGGGCCCACACGCACACACGCTGCACACGATTGGCTCGGGAGCCGACACGAGGCACACTGTCACCGGCCTTAGCACCGGGTCCGGACTGCTGGACACACAGCACACAGCTCACAGGACAGCTCACGAGGTGGCGCTATGTAGTGGGATTCTCAGGGACTGACGCGGGAGAAGAAGGTGGAGCACAGGGACAGGGACACAGAACTCACGAACATCCCACCCCGCGCCGGGGGCGGTGGCGCGCGCGAGCGCCGGGGTATTTTGGACCTGCAGATTGGTTCATTCACAGCCACACAAAATAAGTATGTGACACTTACTTGTCGCCTGCCCCCTCTCTTTGTGTGGTCATCGCAAACCCCGTCAGCAATCCACCTACGGGTATGTTCGCTAAGATCCACATCGAGGTGAAGCAATAAAATTCAATCCCCCCCCCGTTGGGACACGTGTCGGCCGGGGCGGGTGCGGCTCTTCCCCTCTTTGGGTGTGATGCTCCCCATCTGGCTCGACCCAACCCTTTTCGCCGCGATTTCCGCGCTGCTTCTCGCGCTCGTCTTCCTCCACCGCCGCACTGCCTCTGCCGCCGCTCCGACCGCAGAGGCCGGCGCGGTGCTTCGCGCGCCGCCGTGGCAAAGTCCGAAGCTCAGCGAGACCGAATGCTTTGAGGCCGCCTCCAGCCCACAAACGCCGCGTCCAGCGCACCAAGCACACGCGCGCACGGCGACTCAACCTCGCAACTCGCACTATCCGCGACCACCCGCCCAGCGCAACCCTGTGACCCCGCACTCTGCCGACTCCACACAGGCGGCAGTCAAGGCAGCGCCGCGGCTGCTCGGCTACCTGGTGGACAACGAGCCGCAAAGCCTGTACGGGCTGTACAAGCAGGCGACGCTCGGTGACGCGCCAGCCGGCGGCGCGGGCGGTGGACTCAAGGCTCGCGCCAAGGCTGCGGCGTGGCGCGCGCAGGCCGGCAAGGAGGCTGCGGCGTGCCGCGCAGAGTACGTCGCGCTGCTCGACGGCGTCACCAAGCGAGCGGCCGCGTGCGTGCTTCCGCCCTCCCTGCGGCAGAAGCCTCGGTGCGCCGACCTGCGCTGCCGCGTGCGCATCCTCGGGACCGGGCGCGTGGCTGTCAGAGGAGAGGCGCCCTCGCCAGCAAGGAGAGCCGTGCTCACTCCCGCCCTGCCTGCGCGGTAGGCACTATCTGCCGCCAAACATCGTGACGAATCGCGAGGTGCGGCGGAGAGCAGTGACCCACGGACCAGAACCCGGTCGATCAACACGCCCCCTCCTCGCCCCTCCCCACGCAGATAGAGCGGCGGGGCGGCCTTGAGCCGCTCTCCCTCGACCGGGCCCGCAGCGGCGTGACCGAGCGGCGCTTTGCAGCGGACGATGAGCGAGCCAGCGCCATGGCTGCGGCGGCGGCGAGGCAGGCGCTCGAGGCGGCGGGAGTGGCTCCCGAGTCGTTGACTTGCATCGTGCACGCCTCGGGAACTCCAGAGCAGTGCCTCCCCGACGGCGGCCCGCTGCTGCAGCGTGAGCTCGGACTGGGCGGCTCGGGGATCCGCGCCTTCTCTGTCCACGCCACCTGCCTCTCGTTCCTCGTCGGCCTCGAGACGGCGTGCATGCTGCTCGCGCGCGCAGACACGCCGGACGACGCGCGCGCGGCCCGCGCCCGTGGGGCGGCAGAGGCGCTGGGCGCCCCTCTAGAGCGGCGGTGTGTTGACAGGCGCTGATCCTCGTCTGCTCGTCCGAGATCTCCTCGCGGCACGTCGACCCGACAGACGAGCACGTGGCCCCCCTCTTTGGCGACGGGGCCGCGGCGTGCGTCGTGCGCAAGGCCTCGTGGCGCGAGGGGTCGGCGCTGCACCGCGCGCACATGGAGACGTATGCGGACGGCGCGAGTCTCACCGAGGTGCGAGGCGGCGGCACCAACTTCCCCTTCCACCGGGTCGACGACCGCGCGGCGCCAAACCCAGCAGCCACCCGCGAGGTCAACCACTTCCAGATGGACGGGCCCGCCACGATGCGGATGGTGCTGCAGCACGGGCCGGGCTTCATGGAGCGGCTCCGGCCAGGTCTCTCGTCCGGGCTCGGGGACATCGCATGGGTGGTGCCGCACCAGGCAAGCGGGCTCGCACTCGACGCGATCACCGACGCGCTGGGCTGGCCAGCGGAGCGCATGCTGCGCACGCTCGACCGCCTCGGCAACGTGGTGCGAGCGGGGACACACCGCTGGCGCGGTTGCCTCATCACCCGGCGCCGCTCACGGCACAACTCCCCTCGATAGGTTGCCGCCTCGATCCCGCTCACGCTCCACGCGGGCGTCACCTCGGGCCGCATCCAGCGCGGCGACAAGCTGCTCCTAATGGGCACGGGTGCGGGGCTCTCTTTCGGGGGCATGATCCTCACCTTTTGAGAGGTCCAGTTCCGGAAGCACCCCAGCGAGCAAGGAGGGCGCGCGGCCTTAGGACTCCGCTCAAGGCTCAAAACAACAAGGGATTAGGGGAGGAGAGAGACGCTTTCGGCCGACGCGACCGCAGATCTCATGTGTGGCATCGCGGGTGGGTGTGCACCTGTGCACCTGTGCTCTCTCGTGTGGTTGGAATCCACAGTGGTGCGGTGCGTGAGCCCTGTCGGCGTGACGTGTGGGCGCGCAAAACAGATCTTTAAGCGCTCTGAGCCGCCCGCGCCATATGCATAATAAAAACACACAACCAGCCCCACCGCAACCGCCCCGGCCGGGCTTCCCCGCTCCGGGCTGCGCACTCTCTCGCTCACTTCACTCTCGACACTCCGCTCTCCTCTCTCCCTCCCCGCACCACTAGGCTATGCACGGGCCGGCACCATGGCCGCTTGGGCCGGCGCGGAGCGCGGCTCGCGCGTTCGCCTCGTTGAAGAGCCGATTCTTCCGCTCCCGCCGCAGCCACTCCTGCAGCTCCGAGGTGGTGTGTGCCACCGTCTTCTCGCCCGCACGCGCGGGGATCACGTCCCACCCCTCGACGCCGTCCTTGGACGGAAGGCTCGCCGACCGGGCGGCGAGTCGGCCAAACCGCTCCTCTAGCCGCACCGGAGCGAGCGCCGCCGTGCTCCGCCGCGCTGCCAGCGGTGCAAGCGGCGCCGCCGCAGCAGCCTCTGCCGCCGCCGCAGCAGTCTCCGCCGCCGCCGAAGTCTCCCCTACCGCCGCTGCCTCCGCCTCCCTGGGCGCTGGGTCGGGCACGACAAGCACGGTCGGGGGCGGCGACGGGGCTGCGGCTGCCGGCGGCGAGCGGTTGGGCGACGCTCTCGAGGAGACGGCTGTGCGCAGGGCGTCCAGAAGCGCAGCCTTCTGCTCCAGCGAGGCGGCTCGTATGTGGAGCCGCGCCTCGGGGCCGACGCCGCAGCAGCGCCGCGGCAGCAGCAGCTGCAGCCACCGAGACGAGCACCCGCCTGATGAGGGAGAGTCCTGCGGTGGGGATGAGCTCTGTGTGTGTGCGGCGGCGCAGCGGCTATTGGCACCGTCGTGGACGCCGATAATGTCGCTCATGTGCCACACGTTGGTGGCGACGGCTGGCCTGCGAGGCTCGCTGGTCGATACGGAGGTGCAGTCGATCGAGAGGAGGCGGGCGTAGGTCCCGCGGTAAAGGCACCACTTGTCCACGCGGAAATGTGAGGCGCTGCTCTCTGGTCTCGGCTGCTTGGTTGGAGAGGAGCTGACCCGCCAGCGGTGCCGCTGGATGTCATCCCAGGCTTGCATTCGCTGCTGGGACCGCACGAGAGGGAGCACGCGAACTCGAGTGCCCCCGGCGCCCCCGCCGATTTTCACACCTGCTTCTCGAAGCTCTCGAGGTCTCGAGGTTGGTTTTTATGGACGCACTTGGGACTGACGACTGTTTTATCCGTTTCGAACTCACGGCTCACGCGGCTATGACCTGTGTGTGCTGCCGCAGCCTGCCGGCGCCCCCCCGGATGAAACGTGAAACGAGACGACGGCGTCTCGGCGAGGTGCCGAGGTGCGAAAGATCGGTTCACGCGGGACCCGCCGCGGCCTTTTCCTGGCTCGAAAGATGTTCACGGCGCGGGCCCCAGCACGGAGGGGCAGGGGGCAGGGGGGGAGCCCCCCGGGGCCCGGGTACTCCTTAGCTGTCCTAACTCGTCTAGGCGTTGACAAATAACCCAGCCGTGCACCCGTGGCGCGTGAGTGCTGCGTGAAGTCTCGCCCACACCCCTCGTCGTGCGTCACAAGAGGGGGGGGGGGGGGTCGACACGGCACGCGCGCGCTGCGCGCACGGCCTCGGCCTCGGCGACACACGGGGAGGGGGAGAACCCAGCACTGCGCTGAGCGTACAGAAAGAGAGAGGTGGGACAGATCTCAGGCTTCCCGCACCTTTGTGGTACTGGCCTTCCTGACCAGCGACACAAAGTAGGCGTGCCAGCAGTCGTCGGCGGTGAGCTCGGGGTGAAAGGCGATGCCGAGCAAGTTGCCGTCCTGCACGGCGACGGGCGCATCCTCCCTCCCCTCGACCGGGACGCGCGCGAGCACCTTCACCGCGCCTAGTGCGACCCGGCGCCGTCTGCCCGGCTCTTGTCATCGCTGATTGGCTCCTCCCCGTGCCGTGCGTGCGGCCCGCTTATGCTCTTTTGTGCGAGAAGTCGCCGCCGGAGGGAGGGTGCGAGAGGGAGAGGTGGGAGCCCAGAGGTGGCGAGAGGAGGCGAG